CGATTTCAGCTGCTCAAGATCAATATTTTATGCTTTATATGCTTATATCACATTATGATCTAAGGATCTCCCTCAGCCTGTGTCCTGCTCGCTTGGCAGTCAGGCCCCACCCTCTGTATGTGCATATTTCTGCTCTGCTTCTAATATATTGTGTTTAAATCTGGGAATATAGTGAGTGCAAGATGACTTTGCTTCCCAAAACTTTATATTTTCTCGAAGAGCGATTCCCTTAACCATTCCTTCCTTCTTTTTTTGGAAAGTTCATTCTCCCTTACTGACATTAAGGAATAAGAAACTGAGCAGGATTAAATTGGCTATTTTACAAAAGCTCAGAACTAGTTGAGGAATGCGTTTACCAACTTTAGCCATTATTATTCTGCGATTAATGCGGCTATGGCACTTAAATCCAACTTGGAGTATGGTCATCCCCTGGAGTTCGAGATGGAGCTACAAAAATTTTTACCTACTCCCATCAAAGAAGTGTTATGGTAGCCTCCTGCTCAGCAACCGCGGGTGGCTTACATGTTTCTAACTGCCAAAGCCACTAGGCTTGGGATGTGTTATATAAAAAGATAAACCCTTCTACTACCTGGTCCAGAGCTACACCCTTGTTGGTGTTGTAACATGCATTACCTGATCTGGACATGGAATATTGGCTTTCCAATTCTGTCATATGGATTAATGATTTAATTAACTATCTAATTCTGTTTTTATCTTTTCAGTTACAGACCAGATTTGGTCTGGATGCCTTTGTGGCCCTTATACATAGACAGATGGTTGATTTAGTTAGTGAAATGTTATTGTTTTGGATCGGGTCCTGGAGGAGCACAAAATTGACATGTCTACTCTAGAAAAGATTTATCTCTCGGATTGCGATCGGAAACACACTATCTCTATGATCTATGCCTATTTTGATGGGGAACTTGGTCCAAAATTGACAGGAAGGGGAAAGGGAACTGAACAAGCAGTATAGTGTTGAGGAGTGGAATAAGCTTCTGTTGGCGCTAGGGGGAATAACACAGTCTGTGGCACTTTTGGAATCTCATTATACACTTCTCTACATATGGTGAAATCCAGGGGTACAAGGTGAAAGCACACACAAAAATAAATGTTACCTTAAATGCACAGTACACTTGATAAAAGATGTTGTGAATTTTTCCTATACAAAGATAAAAATAAAACACAACATAGTGTAATCTGTATAAATATTAAGTGAGAAGAAGTTATAACTCGAAAAACTCACAATTTGAGCCCATTAAAGTTGTCTCTGAACTTATAGAGCATGTATGTCCCTTTTAGGACATAAACAGCTTTTCTCCAAATGATGGATCCCACCGTTGGTAGGTAAGGTTTCCTAGAAAGTTAAAGTCAGGAAGTTCCAAGATGGAGATAAATATTTTTAAAAGTAATTTATTGTTAATATATAAAAACAAACATAAGGTGCGTTTCAACCACAAAATAGGGTCTTCATCAGGTGCTGCTGAATGTTATATTGAAAGCAGACATGTTTATCATATATGTATTTACATCAATTAAGCAATAAAACATAACTGATTACACATGTTTATTGGGATACACCCATTTCAATATATGGTCCGAACCAGATATACATGTGCCACTCCAAAAATGGCAGTATTTCCGGTCCTGACATATCTGCCCGCCGTATTGGTGATTTTAGAGACCTATGTATATACAAATGCGTATAAGACAATATCTAACATAAAATAAAATAAAATATTTCCATCGGAAAAGAGACAGCACAATACTACTATAGAACATATTGGTGTCCCTTTCACGAGGGTAAAAATAAAGTCGTTCGTAGATTCGTTGCGTCACTTTCTGTGACGTATTGTCCTCCAGTTTATTGTTCCATTTATTGTCATATTGTTAGAATCCTAGAATTGCTGCAATATTATGGGCATATTATTAAGCAAAAAAGTTACTTGTGCACCATCCCAAATCCCTATGCCCATTTTTTTTCTTTTTTCTTTCTTTCGTTCTTTAACAATGTATTTTTATTTGAACCACAAGTACATGACAGATTGGGATTGCATATTGTCTTTAAGCAAGATATCATGATAGATATGTATTAGAATTCAAACCCTGTTGTCTATTGCCATATTTTGAATGGGCCAAGGCTTTATAAATTGCATATTCAGCAAAACGTAAATATATATGTACATCACAAATTAAGTCTGTCCTATTTTATTTCCCTAATATAAAACATTTCCAGCAACGCACACATATTCCTAAATAATTTTTTTCCTGGTTGGAGGTGGTCCTGTAAGAACCATCTGAACATTTTAATTTATTTCTTTTAAATGTTTTTTGACCGATATAAGGAGAAAACTCTCCCCCTCATTAGATAAAGCATAATACACATTTATTGACAGATTAAAGATTTATTCTAAACGTTTCAGTAAAAGGTTAATAAAAGCAATAACAACTCCAAGTAAGCAGTGCACATCCAGAACAAATATTTTCACTCACATTGAGCATGCCATTCTTAGTTTGGCACTTTTATTCTGTGGAGGCTGGTGATGGTGAATGGACTTCTGACCAGCTACAGTGTAGAAGATTGTCTACCCCTTATTTATTTCATGTGCTACTTGATTCTGTTTGGTATCTCTCTGGGTTGTGATCTCACCCTCTAATACCTGACCTACCTACCTTTCAGGTACTTTACCTCTGGGACTGCTCATGGACAGGACCATGCAGGATGTATATGAAGCTAAATTCTGCTTCCTTCAAATTGAAAAAAGGGGCTTAGTTAGGAGACCATGAGATAAGCTCTTTGACCAAAGCCTTTAAATTATATACAGTAATAGTCAGTGTGTCATTCTCCATGATGTTTGGTGACCTTTGTACCATCCTGCCCTGACATACTTGTATCTATTTTTAAATTGATAGGTTGGTTATGGACAGTTTTCTTACCCAGTGGCGTACAGCACATGGGTATGGAGAATTTCTATCAAAACCTATATCCATTGAGGTACTTGATAAGGCCGTGTAATCCACCGCTCTTTTGTACTGGAAATGTGCAGCAATAATTACCTTTATGGGTTAACTCCACCTCTAGTGGCTGTCTACCAGACATCTGTGCTGCACTCAGGTAAGTAACAGAAGGGGTTTATAACTCCTTCTGCACCATGGAGGGGAGGCGCTATAGTGCCAGGAAAACAACTTTGCCCTATGCACATTTAAATACCTGGACACCTTACTATCACGCCAATGGCCATTCAAGTGTAAACTTATTCTCTACATCAAGGCAAAATCTCTTAGGTGAGTCCTACACTAGTAATATTTATATTTTAATTATATTTTTCATTTTTATTGCTTTTTTTTGTACATGTTAGATGAATTCTCTCTATTGCGCATGAAAAACTGAGGATCAGCTCTAGCCTGGAGTATCCATTTAAAATGTTAATATTCATTACTGTCTCGTTATACCCTCTTCCTTTTTCTCACAGCTCACTCTTTAAAACTTGGCTGTTGGCTGACCTCAGCTATCAATCCATAACATGGTAGAGGCAGAAAGACAAACTGATAATAAGAAATGATTTTATTAAAGACACAGAGGCTCCTATCATCCTATCCACTTTCTTTGATGCTCCTTCAGATCAGCTACGAATCAAATAAATAAATTGTAAAATACCAGGCTTAGAATGCCGAATCTGCCACCCATTTTTCCTGTGGAAAAAAAGGTGATATGAAAGAATACTTACCGAATTTGCAGATTGAACTAAACTGACCTTGTGATCCTCTGGCACATCTTCTAGTTGGGAAGAAAGTATTTTTTGTGGTTCTGGACTCTTGAGACAAAATATCCATTTCCGGGTACCTTCCATGAGGATTGCTCCTTGATTTATTGGCTCTTTTGTATTCTATGTAGGATAATCCCTGTGCCTTACACTTTGGACTCAACACATTCTATGTGTCTACCCAATGCTTTGCATACCTCCCTATTGAAACCTTGTGTGTGTAATAAGTACACTAAGCAACATAATCCTCCGCCTCCTATTCCTGTTAAAAATGGAAAGGAGTTTGAGGTGGAATCAATACTTGATTCTTGATTCTTTTGTGGCCACCTTCAGTATGTTGTCAATTGACCCTGAGGAGCATAGTTGAGTTCCTGCTGTTCGGTCCTCTTCGCTGGTTGCATTTGTCGAATTCTCCGTTCAGTCACACGGCTTTCAATGAGGACACTGCCCGCTCAAAATATGCCAGATTGCAGGTATCTTCCTGTCAGGATTTTATTATTTTAATGCCAATATCCAGAATCTCACTTCTTCTCCCCCTCTGCTAGGACTCCTCAGTGATCATACCTTGCACATCTGAAAAAAGATCAATTATCTTTTGTTTTGGTAATAGTTTCCTTCATTTCATTCACAGTTGCAAATTTGCAGTGAAGCTAAGTATAAAACACACCTCACCAGCACTTCTGGTGTGGAGATCTTGCCATAATGCCAGTGAACATATGCATGGGAAAACATTTTCTTTTTTATTGCAAATCTTTATTTTTGTTCATGTATGAGAATACAATGCAACCCGCAATACCACAACAGCAAATGCAAGTGTTTGTAAAATACACAATGAAATAGTTAGCATGACATCAGAAACAGTTATGCCTCGTTTCCACTGAAAGTTTCCATTATGAAAGTGGCCCATACAACCGAACCAAACCGCACCATTCATAGTCCCCCTTCAGATGTAGGGCCATAGGAAATGGTACGGTACGGTTAGGACGGAGCTACTGGCGTCACACGATACATTCCACTGATTGGCGGACAGAAAAACGTCAACGCTCACGTCAAAGGCAAACGCGAAACAAACACCACGTCGCCGTTTAGTCCAGATAATAGGAGAAGGATGCCTGCAAACAACAGCAAGGTCTGGTCGGCTCAGGAACTATCCACTTTCCTAACTATAATTGGCGATAGCGTTATTCAGAGTGAGCTTGATGGATCAGTGAGAAATGAAAAGGTGATATTTCTCAGCGGATGGCAGCTGAGGGATTTGAACGGACATCGGGTCAGTGTAGGGCAAAGCTTAAAAAGCTAAAAGGCCAATCTAAAAAAATTAAGGATGCCAACAGCCGTAGTACTTGGAAGTGGGACAACGCCATGGATGCCATTTACGGTCATAAGCCGGCAAACCAAGGCAGGGAGGGAGGTCTGGACTCTGCATCTGCACTTCTCGAATCAATGATAGAACCCATTGGTAAGTTTTTTTTCCTACTTGGCATTGGCTTTCGCTCTGCTAGCCATTTATAAATTCACTGCACAAAACCATTAACTATTTGTACAGTGGACTGAACTATTGATCTGTGCATTTTCAGATACAGTTGATGGACTCTCCAATGATACCTCAACCTTTTCTTATGTTTCTGATGATGATCCATCAACGTCATTCAGCAGCACCAGTACGATGACATCAACACCGACCCAACCACAGACCCAACCACAGAGTATGCCCAATGCACCCCGGCACATTGGTAAGACATGATGTTCAGAGTGGAAGTTGTAATTGTGCATTTTCCTAACTTTTAATTCACAGCAAACTGCGAACTCACTCAAAATGCTTCTATGTAGTTTGTTTGCATAATTAATTCCATAATCATAATTGTACATTGTCTGTATATAATGCTATTTAAATTTCATTGAGTTTTGAGCTTATCTTAAGTATATTGTGTTTATTGAGTTTATTTTAATTTGTGCTTATACTGTTCTTATGTGTTACATCTGTTCTTTATTTACATTATGTTAGATGATATATATATCAACCTGTTTTTTGTACCAATAGTATATTCCAGGTGATAGGAGACGGTTTCAGCTGGATTTGCGCACAGTCATGGAGGATATGCGAGCAGCAGAGGAAAGGCAGAAGGAAAGGATGGAAAACCTTTCTGAGCGGCGGTTTCAGGCACTGCGTCAGGATGCCCAAGAAGAGAGGTGCCAGGAGACAGAAATCGCCCGGCAGCAGATGGAGCAGTTGGCTACCTTCAACCAGGCCTTCCTTGGTGTCCTTAGGCAGCTTGTTCAAGTGCTGGGAGGCAGTCGTGATCCCATGTCACCGCCCAGGCAGTAGTGCCTTTCAGCCAGCACAGGACCTGTACACTTTTTTATTTTTATTTTTTGGTAAAAATATTTATTTTTGGTTTTTGTAAAAAAGCTTTATTTGTAAATATATTTTTTTACTTTGTACTTGTAAGTATATTTTCAAAGATCACTTTTTTTGTTGAATAAAAAACAGGAGAGACTTTGCGTGTGTCTGATTAAATGTAAAACTTTATTAAAACTTTAATAAAACCATAATAAAACATTAATAAAATCAGGGTAAGGAATTAAATGTTGAGGTGCCACATCAGAGCCTGACTTATTTCACTGTACTCGTCTTCACTATCTTGTGTAATTACCCGTCCTGGCTCTTCTGCAGACGTATTCCAATCATGGTGGAAGTCTTCTCCATGTCTTTCACAAAGATTGTGAAGAGCACCATGGATTTGACAAGTTCAATGTCACTGTTATTCCTCTTCATAAGACAACGCCACCTACCCTTAAGTCTTCCGAATGCATTTTCAACTATGACCCGTGCCCTGGATGTTTTCTTGTTGTAGGTTTGTTGTTCTCGTGTCAGGCAGCCATTGTCAGGAAACGGTTTCAGGAACCAATTTTGTAAAGGGTAGGCAGAGTCCCTGAGCACATAATAGCCAAAATTCACCCCCAATGTTCTTAGTGCAAACAGGACTCAGGCCTCCCTGGCCAACCCAATGCCAAAATGTGGACAATCGTAGAACCCAAGCATCATGCAAACTCCCAGGCTTTCCTACATTCACACTCCAGAATAGTCCTTTTCCATCCATTACTCCTTGGTGACTGACTCTGTCCCTGCGTCTCACTAGGTCTGGTATGCTTATAGATATATATTTTGTATATTTATATTTGTGTTTGTGGGGTTGGATTAGACTGGTGTTTTATTTCTCTATTTCTGTATATTGAGACTCTGCTATTCATATAAGACGCATTTGGCATTATTATACATATATATTCAGAATTTTTCTGATCATTGCTGTAAAGCGTGATATGATACTTTATTTTGGATCCTTATGTTATGTGATATTCTTATAGAGTGTGCCCACTTAATAAAGATTGTTTTATTATCATTGATGGTTGTGCTCCTTACTCTATTGTTATTTACATGTATTTGGGCTTTTGGGGATAAAGCCTTATGTGAGTGAGCACCCCATATTGTATTTTCATAGAGCTCCATTTGGGAGCTTGCGTATATTTCATATTGAGTGTGCCTACCTTATTCAATTTTTAATTAATGTTGTATGTTTACCACACACAAGTGGAAGTTAACCTGTTGGTTCATCGATGCTCACTAATATGGGCTAATGGAGCCCCCGTTTAAAAAAATGTGTATAGCTTGTACCAAAATTATACCAAAAAAAACCAAAATGTGCAGTCCTTCAGGGCCAAAATGTGAATATCGTTGGATAATATATGCGTGCTGTTGTGGCACATCACACATGATTGTAATTTTCTTGTACAGAAAAAATAAAGAATAAAAAAAAAACAAAAAACCTTACCTTATACCAGCGCCGGGCTCCCTCGGCGCTGGTGACCTCTCCTCCCCCGCCGACGTCAGCTACCCTGTCCGACATGCGCATTCAAAGTGTCCATAGGAAAGCATTTCTTAATGCTTTCCTATGGATGCTCTGCGCAATGGAGGCGAAATGTGCCTCCAGCGTCGCAGATGCGCCTCTAGTGGCTGTCTGGAAGACAGCAACTAGAGACTGGATTAACCCCAAATGTAAACATAGCAGTTTCTCTGAAGGGTTAAAACCTGAGGGACATTGCACCCAGAACACTTCATTGAGCTGAAGTGGTCTGGGTGACTATAGTGTCCCTTTAAAAGTATAGTAGCTAAACTGCGCTTTTTTAAATTGTATGAGTAGGAAAAGTAGTCAGCGGAGAAACAAAGCGGCATAAGATAAGAATCTGGTTACATTGACTGACTATACGAGGGGTGTGAACAAATGTATACGATTTAGCACATGCTGGACTGATTAGTAAAAATGTTTAAGCATAACTAGGAAGCATGTTAGGCAGGTATGATGATTCATGTTAGGCTGTAGTGTGTGTAGCTTCTTAGCATTACAGTAAGGACAACTAGGTGAAATATCAGTGCCAACTCTCTATGATGTCCCTGGGTAGAAGAAAAATATACAAGTTGGCACATGCTGAGTTAATTAGTAAACTGGTTAAGCATAGCTCTTGTCTGACTAGGCGGACATTGTCATCTAGAGTAAACGTTTGCATGACATTCTAGACAAAGCAAGAAGACGGTCACACATAACCATTAGCTTAAGTCAACAGGCTTATATCCACCGTAGGACACACTGAAACACAAAACCATCGCTAAGTAAATATAAAGTTAAAGTTAAATATGTTGAGCTATCAAACAAGCTGTAAATCGGTGGGGCATAGAATGTGACACATTGCTGAACTGGAGACTGGAGAGTAGGGCACAAAACTTTAACAGAAAAAGGCAGTGAGTGCTGCTCGGTGGGCTCAGTCCTGAGCGGCCTCCGTCTTCCTCATCAGCTGCCACTTGCCAGACTGCGGGTCTGCGGTCGCGTCAGCCAATTCCCTGGGTTGGCAAGTCTGCGGAGCAGGTATGCGAGGTCTCGGGATCATCTGGCTGGCGAAAGCCGACACCCTCTATCACAGACTCGTGCCTTTGCACGGCCATGTCCTGGCCCAGCACAGGGCAGTTGGAAGATCAAGGTGGCATCTACTGCCAGCAGCATGAGACCTTCCCCCTGTGTGGTCGGTGTCTTAAGGGCATGCCTCTAGTGGCTTTCGGCCTAGGCAGGCGGTTGTTGGTGCAGTTAGGCTTTTGGGTTAGTGCGCTGCCCGGAGGAGTCCCTCCCACCGCCGTCCACAAGCTTCTCTCTGTCCTCTGTTTGGACCGGATAGCAGTGGATCACGCCTGTAGCTTGTCCCAGAAGGCCTGGAATAGTGCGTCCAGCCTGGATTCAATGGTGCTTTGGTTGGGCCTTTGTGACTGGTTGAATGTTTGCGATTCTTGTGAGAAGGCCTCCGCCATCTTGTGTGGTCTGGGCACTGTTAGGTGTCTGCTGTGAGCGGTATACAGATGCAGCAGGGAAAACATTGGTCTGTTCACCCATTGGGGACCGGGATAACCCCCGCTGGTCCAAAGAGGGGGAGAGGGGCAGGAGACCAGCAGAGTCAATTAGGGAATGCGGCGCTAGGGAGAGCGGCCGCCCCTCCCCAGCTCCAACTCTAGTAGGCTGCACGCGGTGTTCCGGTCTCCCGGCCTCGACGGGCTCCAGAGAGGTGTCACTCGAGTGGGTAGTGCACCCCGGTAAGCCGATTTTACCCCAACATCTGCCCATCAGGCAGGAGCTCGTGCTGCTCACATCTGCACAGCTCAGAGGTCAGGCTCCGCCCCATGGGCAAACATTTTTAATAATTATGTGCCTTCGTTTAGCTAGATCGTCATCTGTTTCCTTCACCATTCTGTTTGAACCTGGGCACTCTACCCTCTTTTCCTTTATTGACAGAGACACCACTCAACACAGCTCCAGGCTTCCAGTGAATCATTTTTGTTTGTTTTTTGTAGGTATTTTCAACCAGTCATTAGACACTCTGGAAGAGGACCTATATAAAGCCAGCACCCCTTCTCATTAGTGCCCATTTTTGGTTTACCTCTTTAAGAGTGCTGTTCTCCATTACCATTGTGATTTGTTAATCAACAAATCTTATTTCTGTAGTCCTTGTACATTCTTATTCTAAATGATATGTTTATTAAGTTGTTTGTTTTCTGACTCATTCCTGTTTATGTAGTGACGCCATAAGGTGGGCGGGAGCAGTCTTCGACCCGCGTCTTTCAAATTGAAAATACACTCAATCTACAAGTTGCTGCATCGGATGCCTTTACCTGGATCGTTTTAGTGAAGAGTATACATCAGCACCTGCACTATAGCCTTCAATTCATCAGCTGGTTGCTACATCGATTTGCTCTATATTGAACACAAGCGCTTGTGTGAGTAACAGCAGGCAGCTGTATATACTCACCTTTTGATATCCAGTAAGAGGCTGATTTCAAAATTCCACTGTTTTGCGCATCGCACTATTTTGTCTCATTGTATATTATCTGTTTATTATATTTTATTTATTCTACATTGTGTGCATTAATAAATTTTGATGTATATATTCAAGTCACTAGTTTATACATATGCGTAATATTTTTGCTACCAAAGTTCCTTGATATACCTATTGTTTCTATTTTAGATAATATATTGCTGTGTCTCTACAGGTCTTCACTATTTTTTGCATTTCTCTATTTTTATATGTCATTTGGATCTTGGATATTTTGCAATCTTGGAAATTTGACAATCTTCAAAGAGTCCTGTTGCATGACCCAGGCCTGTTGCAATTCAGGCCAAGCTTTAGCTGTCAAACCATTTGACTCTAAATTTTTTTAGTATACAGAGGAGTTCATGTTCGACTCAAACACGGAAAGCTTCCCAAGTCCTGTGGCTGCATAACAAGCCTAAATCATCACACCTCCACCACCGTGCTTGACAGCTGGGATGATGTGTTTATGCTGGCATGCTGTGTTTGGTTTTTGCCAAATGTGGCAGTGTGGATTATGATCAAACTTCTCCACTTTGGTCTCAACTGCCCAAAGGACATGGTTTCAGAAGTCTTGCGGTTTGTTCAGATGCAATTTTGCAAACGTAAACCGTGCTGCCATGTTCTTTTTAGAGAGGAGGTCTTCACCTGGCAACTCTTCCGAACAAATTCAGTTCAGTTTTTTTCTAATTGCACTGTCAAGAACTTTAATTTGCTAACTGAGGCCTGTAGAGTCTGAGATGTAACTCTTGGGTTTTTTACAATTTCACAGATATTGCACTGTCTCACCTAGGGTAAATTTGCTGGGGCGTCCACTCCTGGGAAGATTGGAAACTATCTTGAATGTTTTCCACTTTTGAATAATCCTTTAAACTGTAGAATGGTGGACTTTAAATTCACTGTAAATTGCATTATAACCCT